GTCTTCCAAAAGAGGATACAACTAGAAATCAGTGGTTAAGTTGTATTTACAACACTGTTCCAGAACAGTTCAACCCAAATATTCAGATGTGTGCAGCACATTTTATGGAGGACGAGGACTGTTTCCTGAGAGAGTAGACTACAATGCCGGTGTCTGTTTCTATAAAGTTGGGCAATTCCAACATTGCAAGGACAGTCTGGTGCTTCTGACTCACTGTCTGTAAGTAAGTTTTCATATTTAAAGAATTTGCCACTGATGATTCAAACGCGAGTTTTGAGCAGTGTAGAGTAGCGCTTGTTGTTTGTCTTTTCTCCGATCACAAATGCAGACATGGTTTTATGTTTACACAGCGCGATACACAACGCACTGCGTAAAAAGACAGTATAAGTCATTATAATCCGTAATTCTGTCCCCACTGGATGCAACAAATGCCTCGTTTTATAATGGGTTTTACTGGTTTTGTCTCGTCGCACCTGGAGATGGCATCACAGTATGGTAAGGGGCGTAACATTTCTGTCACCCGCTTGAGGTATTCGGCCAATCACAATGCACTGGATAGCTGGCCAATCAGAGCACACCTCGCTTTTCAGACCGATGAGCTTTGTAAAAATCGACGCGTTTCAGAAAGGCGGGGCATAGGGGAGAAACAATAATGTACATTGTGGAAAAGAATGTTTTTTTTAACCTTAAACCGCATAAACACATTGCATTACACCAAATACACAAAATAATGTTCTTTTTAGCAACATCATATGACCCCTTTAATGTAGCCCTGCCCCTTTTCAGCACTGTGCTCGTTGTCTTCTCTCATCCGGTTTGTATATTTTTACTGTCATACAGATTTATGAATAAAACGCTCATTTTAAAAATCTTCCCGGTCTATTGACATTTGTTATCACATCCGCTTCGAACATTACAATGCTGACAACTTTTGTTAACTCTATAGTAAGTAAATAACTTTTGTTAACTCTACAGTAAGTAAATCACAATTACTCTTCAATAGTAGAGCTACCACAAAAACAGAAGTCTAAAGACAAAATCCTAAAGATGGCAGCACACTTGTTTCTCTGACATATTAGGTCAATACAGAACAACTGTCAATGAAAGCTTAAAATACTGATGCACCTGGATCATAACGTGAAAACATGTGTCTTTGTTAAACCATCACTGTGCTTGTTTCACATGGAGATTATATCATGACCCTACTAGACTCAATCCAGACGGTGTAATCCCAGACCCCTACACCCCCTCTTATACAACAGACACAGCGGGATTCATTTATGGATTAGAAAAAGATATCTGCAGTACTTTAAATCTGAATGTACAAAAGACGAAACAGAGACACCTGGTGATCGTAAAGTTAAACTGCAATCAACATCTGAGTCTCTGACTTGGCTTTTTTGAGGCCTGTGAACAAAAAATGGCCAAACACAAAGAACAAACTGTTTTATAGAATGTATTAATTATAAAATGATGTTTTGTGTGTGTGTGTGTGTGCGGTCTATTGACATTTGTTATCACATCCGCTTCGAACATTACAATGCTGATAACTTTTGTTAACTCTATAGTAAGTAAATAACTTTTGTTAACTCTACAGTAAGTAAATCACAATTACTCTTCAATAGTAGAGCTACCACAAAAACAGAAGTCTAAAGACAAAATCCTAAAGATGGCAGCACACTTGTTTCTCTGACATATTAGGTCAATACAGAACAACTGCCAATGAAAGCTTAAAATACTGATGCACCTGGATCATAACGTGAAAACATGTGTCTTCGTTAAACCATCACTGTGCTTGTTTCACATGGAGATTATATCATACCCAACTAGACTCAATCCAGACGGTGTAATCCCAGACCCCTACACCCCCTCTTATACAACAGACACAGCGGGATTCATTTATGGATTAGAAAAAGCTATCTGCAGTACTTTAAATCTGAATGTACAAAAGACGAAACAGAGACACCTGGTGATCGTAAAGTTAAACTGCAATCAACATCGGAGTCTCTGACTTGGCTTTTTTGAGGCCTGTGAACAAAAAATGGCCAAACACAAAGAACAAACTGTTTTATAGAATGTATTAATTATAAAATGATGTTTTGTGTGTGTTTATTTGAAAGATAAATATTTTGTAACATTATAAATGTCTTTACTGCCCACTTTAAAAAAAAAATCAATTTCATGCATCCTTACTGGATAAAAGTATTAATATATTTTCATTAAAAATATATTAATACATTTTAAAATAAAAAAAGGACGAAAAAAGGTAGTGTATCATTGTTTCCATAGAAATATTTATCAGCAAAAATGGATTTCAACATTGATAATTATAAAAAAAAATTCAATAGTCTTTTTTTTGTGTGTGTTTTAAATAATATCTGACAGATTAATAATTTAAAAGACACTGTGCAAAGAAAGTGCATTATTATCACCATAGTTGAATGTTTGATTGACAGGAATCCTTGGATGGCAGGCAGGAGAGAGAAGCTGTGTGGGATGTTCTGGAACATGGTGTTTACATGCTGGAATTCAACACTCTGTGCCAGCATACACAGATACAATCTCATGACCCGGACGAATAGACGTTTCTAGCTTGTTAGTTTGCTGGAATTAGTACTGCCGTGTCATGTGACTTAATCAGCTGATCAGATGTAAGTGTTAAGTTGTTTTTCTCCATTGGAGAATGGATTACAGAGAAATTTGATAAGTTTGTCCTATTAATGACCCGAATGGGAAGTCAAATCTTACATTACGGTACACAAAGATCTTTCCATCTCATAGAATATCACAGTAATATTTTACAATAAGGTTGAAAGGTTAACATAAGGTCATGCATTAAGTGTCAAGAAATAACAATGAACAAGATTTTTATAGCATTCATTACACTAGTGAAAAATAAATAGATTTAAATATATTTGAAAGGTATTTCTTTCATAGTATACTACTACAAATACATTTATATATTTATGTACTTTACAAAAATACCCTGCAATTGTACTTTTAGTATACTAAACTTGTATACTTCAAGTCTGCTAAATTGGAACAACTAATTTTGTACTTAATGCACTTTAATCGTGCGAAAGTGCTGAAGTCCATCTAAAGATATAATGAAGTATATTTGATTGTGATAAAGTGTAACTATTGCAAGTATACTTCAGGTACACTTTAATTATTTTGCATTTAAAGACTGATATTATTCAACGATCATACAATCCTCATCAATAGTGACATTAGGCTTAATAAAGAAATGTGCATTGTGCACAAGTAGTAGGGTAGGGTAATCTAGGTTAATGTCAATAAAAAACTGCAATGTTACAAATGTATACACAATCATTCAAAACTTTGGACTCAATAAGAGTTGATTTGATCAAAATTGATCAAAAGTGACAGTAAAGACTTTTTCATCAATAAAATCTTTTTTTATTTCAAATAAATGCTGTTCTTTTGAACTTTCTATTAATCAAAGAATCCTGTAAAAATAAATGGTATCACAGTTTCCACAAAAATGTTAAGCAGCACAACTGTTTTCAGCTGTGATAACAAAAAATAAATAAATAGTAAGAAGAAATGTTTCTCAAGCACCAAATAAGTGTCACGGTTATGGACTTTTGTTTGTGCTCCTGTTCTCCTGCCTTAGTCTTCCTTTGACCTAGTTTTCCTGAGTTGTCCTGATTAGTTAATTTGGTTCCACCTGTGTTTATTAATTATCTCATTTGTCTATTAGTACTTAAGTCATGTGTTCTCCCCTGGTTCTTTGTCTGCTATTTGTTGTTGTGTCGATGTGTTGCTACCCCATACTCTTGGATTCCTTCTGTGGATTTATCATTAAGGACTGTTAATTGGACTTCTCCTGCATTGTACGCTTTTAATAGCACCCAAACCGTAACAATGAACATATTATTTAATATAATAAACATATATTAAAACAGTTGTAATAATAAAGAAAAACTGTAATAATACTTTACAATATAACTGTTTTCATCCATTCAAATAAATCCTGATCAAATGAATGCAGCCTTGGTGAATATAAGAGACAACCTTTAAAAACATTATTCACTGCACCGATTCCAAACAGTAGTGTATAAGTAGAAATGAATGCTATCCTAAATTAACACAATGCTGTAAAAGTATTGTTCATTGTTAGTTTAGGATATCAACATGAACCAATATTGCTTAAAACAAGCAGGAAATGGTTTGTTTTTATTGTAAAAAAAAAAAAGCCTATAAAGAGAATGGTATGAGCACAATGCCACACAGATCTTCTTGCTCTGTATTATCCCTAAAGGCCAAATAAAAGCTGTCTTTGTGTTTATTGCATCTGTATTTGTGATTGCCTGCGTGTTTGTGCACCTAATATGAATTCCGACTGTAGCATGAAACTTACTGCCATTAATGGGACTAACTGCTCCAGCAGATTTACAGAACTGACATTAAAAATCCTGCAAATGAGAATTTATGTTTCTAACAACTTCAGAATCCAATTGTATTTAAATTATTAAAAGAACAAATGTTTAAGCACTTAATTTAAAAGCACTCTAGAGTTTCCTGTGGCGGTTTTTGATTTGATTGTAGACGTTTAGTGTACAATTTCGAAATGTATAATTTCCATTGGTACTTTAAGTTGGTCAATACTAATGCGACAGCAGTGAGCAAGGACGAGACTGTTTCTTTTGTTTATTGGACACAGATGTATGGAGCTGTACCGAGATGTGTGGCTTCCTGAGACCCTGCTGGCCTCTTGTGGTTTTTCTCTTCCCCTCTCTGGCCTGTTTGAAAACTGAACCCCCGATCAGAGCAAGCGGGAGAGAGCCGCTACTCAGATTCCAGTTATTGGAAATCGTTGGGTGGCTCCGACCCAGAGATGACCCAAAACACATCCACATCCATCTGTCTCAAAACACATGCTCGGAAAAAAAAACATGAACAGATCGATGCCTCTTTATTCCCTAAAAACACTTGAAGTCAAATCAATTTCTTTTCTCTGATTTAAATGGTGCGATCGTCGCTGTCCTTGAGTCGGTTACGGCGGTGCTGAGGAAGTGCAGGATGTGACTGTAAGGCTGGGAACTGGAGGGCTAGTTCTGAAATTGCTAATCAGCTCTAACACTAGCCTCAGCGCTAATCAAGCTAACTATAGCCAGGCAGCTCACGCTCCGTTTGCCTTTTAGCTTGTGGCTTCCTTAGTGTCACTCAGATGTGTGTTAGCAGATAACTGCTGTGTTTGTTTGGTGTGCGCCGTGTGCACAGGAAAAGCAAATTAGAGTTGATCTCATATGCATTTTTGTTACACATTCAAATCACATGAAGCGGATTTGGCTTTTGTAACTTGCTACCCAATTTGATTTATAACAATAAATATGCTCTAACGCACACATGTGATTTATGAGCTTGCTGTGTAACTAAGAAAGAGGCGTGTGGATGCCACAGAAACCTTGGGTGTAAATGTCAACTTAGTCAGTGATTTATATGCATATGTATAAGTGTCAGTGTGGTCCGTCTGTTGTGTGTATAACTCACCGAGGTCATCGATTTTGATGTTGGGTCTTAGAGTGTAGTCTGGCTCTGTGGGCTGGGGCTCATCATCTGAATCAGATGCTGGAAGACATGAAAGGAGAATCAGAACACACTCTCTCCCCTCTCTCTGAAGGATCTTATACATGCTCTCAAAGGACTTGGGAATTTATTTGTAAGCTCCTCTAGGTCATACGCAGCGATGAGAAAGTGATGGGGTAGTTAGTGTTCCCGGTTCAGGCTACATACAGCAAAAGGATGGGACATGAATCACGAAACAATAGTCCACTTGTCGACTACTTGTCTAACAGCTGATTTGTCAAGGGATTTACTGGTGTCCTAAAGAAAATAAAATTTCTATCAAAATTATGTTTCAGTAAAATTTGTTTTTATTTATTTATTTTTTGCACATTTACTGTATTTGACAATTATTTTGACACTTTTATGGAAAATCATGATTAATTGTGATTATTTTATTCTTTTGACTGCCATTAATTTTAATTGTAAAAAAAACAAAAAAACAATGCAACATATATTCAAGTACAGCTTGGGTCTTAAAAAGCTGCTTTAAATATACTATTAATTAATGAATATAATATACAATATTAATATTTATTTTAGTTACATATATTAGCAAACATGATACATTTGAAGTAAGAATTTCTAATTTTCTAATAGCTAACAAAAAGAGAAAGTGAAAATGGCATTTTTTGCGGGAAAAAACAATTTATAGTAAAATAATTTTTTATTTTATTGTTAATTTGATAAACAAATACATTTAAATTGATGTTTCTCTAGTGTTTAGAAAAAATATATTCTGTCAGTTTAACAGAAAGTAAAAATGTTATTTATTGTGGAACAAAAAATATTGTGAGCATAAAATAAATGTGTAATGTATTGTGAAATAGATATAAGTAAATCTGAATTGAAAAAATTAATTGAAAATCTCTAATAGTGCTTAGAAAATATATATTCTGTCAGTTAAACAGAAAGTAAAATAATTGTCGTTAATTGTGAAAAAAAACATTTATTTGAAAATGTGAAAAAAAAAACAATTTAAAATGTATTAATTGTGAATGTAAAATATATATATATATTTTAATTGTGAAATTGATATACAAATAAATCTGAGTTCAATTCAATAGATTTTCT